ATGTTTAGGCCTGCAATAGTTCCTTATTGAACCACCTAGCAAAATTGTTAAGCTGTTTATTGTGATTTTCAAATGAAAATGGTCTGTGCTACTCGTACTGGGTTCAAGATCTTCTTCAACAATAGAACTTTTGAGATAACCAACTTATTCGTAATTACTGCTTACTTATACCTGTTTCTTTTCTTAAGCGATATGATATGTTCAGCCTATTTCACATAGGCAATGCTTAAACTCCTTCAGTGTTTCCATATAAAAGATTGATACTGATTTTCTTCTTTCACTTCTGACAGTAATACACCACCACTGCCCGACACTGGCCAGTGGTTGCTCCTGGCATTAAATGAGAAGCTTCCTCAATTAATTGTTGACATATTAAGAGCACGTATTGTTGGACTACACCATTACCTGATGTTGTTTATGATGCTGGCATTCTCTGTTTTGTTTGACTCTGTAAAAGCTCCAGGCTTTGGACTAGGTGCAAGATATATGTTTACAATGGCGATTGGTCGCCTTCTTCGTGTTATAACTTTTACGTCTACAATTGTGCCATCAGCGAGGCCTTGGTGTGCCACTATGAAGTACAGAATTCCAGCTTATCCTCATCTTTGGGCTCAGAAATATTATGTTCCTTATTCTTCGGACCATCATGCTATCAGCCAGTTGATTAAGCAAGATTTAGCTTATGGTATGCAGTGCATTAGTCCATTTGATTTTAGTAATTTCTCCTAAAATTGATGTTTATGAAACTTTAAGCTGATTTACGCTTGGGGTGTTAATTCAGTGCTGCCTTCAATGTATCAATACCCTACCTACTTGCGACTGATAATTTTTTTTTTTTTTAAATTGGATGTGGATTTTCAGCTTTACCCGATAGTTGATAGTAGTGCCTATTAGGCACGGTTCCAGTACTCCCTGGACTGTTTTTTTCCCTCGGGGATGAATTTGTGCATGCGGATATGATTATCTGTATGTGCTTGCCTGTATTTGTGCTTGTCCTGTTATCTTGGTGGATGTATGAACTATAGAAGAAGAATACCGTCTATAAAGCCTTTTCAAAATTCCTCCTCATTCTTTTCTGATATTTTGCTGTAAGAAAAATATGATCCAATGGTTTACATGATGTAGTTATTTAAAATTCTGATCATGAGATTCTTATTAGTTATATAATTTTAGATTGTATTCCAGTTTTTCTTAAACCTGAAATTGTTAAGTTTCAATCATTTTAACTCTAATGATGGATAACTGGGTAAATAATCTATCATCAATTTCTTGTTTTGCATCTCTAGGAGTCTGTCCACTTTTATAGGTATTTTCTTTCTACTGAAAATCCTGCAAATAATCAACGTGTTGTTCTTTCACAGTTGACATTGGAAAACCTACTGTTGATTACCAGCCCGATTGGGGTAAGATGAACTTCTTAATTGATTTTCTCCGACCTACAGCCTTAGAAGGATCAAAATGGTACCATCTCTTGAAAAAAGCTGAAGGTGGGTGCAATGACCTCATATATAGTGGCCACATGCTTGTTGCTGTACTTACAGCTATGGCTTGGACGGTATGATATGTAGCCTTACTGCAAGACTTTGTTATTTAGAGCTTGTTTGGCATTGCGTTTTGGTCATGAAAACTGAACTTTTGAATCAAACCAAAACTGACTTTTTGAATCAAAAAGCTAACTGACACGGGAAGATAATGTTTGACATTATGTTTTAAACAACTACTACCTTCGGTCTTTAATATAAGAGATAGCTTGACATTCAATTTGATTCTAAATATAAAACTATAATCTACTTTGTCTGTCTTTTTTTCCAAATAGTTTTTGTAATAGTTGCGCATGTTGTAGGTTTCATCGACTGGTAGTTCTAGTTAATACATATGATTATCAAACGCATTTTAAGAAAGACAATACTTATTTATTATAAATAACTAACTTAACTAATTTTTTTAATTTATTTAAATCAGTTAACTAGCTTTTATATTTAAGATCGGAGGGAGTAGCTTTTTTGCCTAAAGCATTGAAGCAACTTTTTATAGTTTTTGGCTTTTTGGTTTTTGACCTTTTTTCACATTTGAACCTTCTAAAATTGACTTTGTAATGTACATCTAAATAATTTTATGTCAAACTGACTTTCATATAAAATTATATCCAAACATAAATCATATTAAATTAACTAATTTTTTATTTCAACTTCAGTTTACAAAAGTTGGTTTGAAGACATTAATCCAAACAAGTCCTTAATCTCTTTGTGGCTTCAAGAGACATTTTCTTCTCTATATTTTAAAATTCTAAAACTTCTTGCAGGAAGCTTATGGAGGTTTTAGTTCAGCATTCATATGGCTTCTTTTACTACACAGTGCTCAAAGAGAAGTAAGAGAACGCCATCACTACTCTGTAGACTGCATCGTAGCCATCTATGTGGGGATTCTCTTGTGGAAGGTGACAGGTTTCATCTGGTCAAAACAAGCTGATGCGAAGCTGAGTAAGCTCAAGAAAATTCAACGTAAACTAATCCAAGCCGCGAAGGATTCAGACATGGATGAAGTGAGAGACCTTCTGAAAGACATTGGGTTATCTGGTGAAGAGAACAAGAATCTGAGTTCCAAGGAACAATATCCATGGTTGTTTACTTTAGCGACAATGTTCTTCGCACTTGCCATAGTTGTTCTAGCTTTCATACTCACAAGTGATGGATAATCTTCTCAGGACAGGAATCTGTTTTCCCACCAGCACACATGGTTCGTGGCGTTTGGCATTGAATTGTCTAAGCATTTTTCACCTTTTTATTCTATTAGAATCGTGGATAGTTTGAAGGGAAATGATTAGGTGAATGCGATCAAAAAGGAGAGTTTTATCTAAATTGCGTTTGATAGGATCGAAAGTCCCTTCTAAGTTTTCATTCTGAAATGCTTGTAAAGGTAGGTATTGTGCTCCTCAAAATGCATGTATGGAGCTGGTCACACTTTGATGAGCATGCTTCTATTGATCTAAGATGGTAATTTTTGTCAATAAAATATGGTAAATTAACGGTAATGGATCGATGATAAAAATGTGAAAGATTGAGGGGCTTAAATTTAAATTTTCAAATGTTAATGAATTGAAATATCCTATCTAAATATAAGAATTATTAGAGATTTAGTTTAATACATGTTAAAGAGTTACTATTTTAATGCATACAATTGCGAAAGGGTATTTTAAAAAAGATAATATTCATTTATTATAAATAACTAATTTAATAAAAAAATTTAATATTTAAAAATTAATTATTGAATTTTTATATTAAAAACTACATGCAGTATTTAAAAAGGATAAAAATTTATCTTTGCATCTCAAACTTGTACAAAATTTTAGTTTAATTTGATTGCTTATTTTGAAAAGAATTTTTTGAATCCTCCAATCTTAATCCTCTCAGTTTCAAATGATTTACTATACCAATTATTATTATTATTTTTAAAAAATTTAAAACTAATATATAAGTATTTGAGAATGTTTTGTTGATATTTAAAATTTTAATATTACTATCTTTTTCTCAATAGCACTAGAGCTAGACAATTAAAAGGATACATTATAAAATTAAAAAATAAAATAGAACCTTACATAGTGTTAAAAATTATAAAAAGGTTTTTTTGTAAAAAAAAAATTAGTGAGAATTACTATTACGTCTCAAAAAATGTAAATAACTACCAAAAAGTTTGAATAATGAGCGAGAAGATTTGTTACTCTTAAACTTGTCATTACAAGCTAATATTCTCTGTTGCCATTGAGATTTTAATAATTATAGTTCTTATTTAGAATTTTATAAAGCAATTCTTTCAAAAGAAAAACCATTTTTTTAAAAAAAATTATATTCCTCAGCTTGGAATCGCGCGGAATCTGTCATTCTTCCGACTCTTCAACGCAATGGGCCAGAAGCCCAAACCATGCGCGTTCCCATCAGACCCCACTGGCGAGTCAAACTAACTTTGACTACTAACAAAAGGTTTAAAATTACCGTGAGTTTGAATCCCTCTTCTTTTTTGGGCCTGAATGAATCCCTCTTCATCTTGGTTTTAAAAAACAGAATTATACTACTCTAGTACTTACTTAAAGTTGAACTTAATTAAAACGTTGATATTAGTATTATATATAAGATTTATTTTATATATTTATTAATTTTTTTAGAAATAATCCTATTAATATTCTTTTAAAAATAATCAAACAGAAGAGGAGGAAGGAATTAAAAAAGATATTTAAAATGTTTTAGAAAAAAATATCATATTCACTAATTTAACTAATATTTTTAATCTATTTAAATTAATTAATTAAGTTTTATATTAAGGATTGGAGGAATAATTTTTTTTCAAATTTGCCTTGGGCTTAAATGATATAGGTAGAGGAACTTCAGTAAATCTTTTTAACATTAAATCTCAATTAATAAGCTATAACCGTCTTAAATTTAAAAAGGAAAAACCATATTGAAGGTATCTATACTTTCTCTTCATTTTTAATTTGGTACCTATGTGTTTTTTTCCCTTTAATTAAACATTTAATTTTATCTTTTTAACAACATTAGCTCTTATAACTTTGTTCTATTGATTTTTAGTCTCTACATAAGGATTAATGATGTTAATAGAGGAAAAATAAATATTTAGTTAAGAACAAAAAACACATAGGTACCAAATTGAAAATTAAAAAAAAGTATAGCTACCTCCAATATGGTTTTCTCATTTAAAAACTAATTTATATTGATGAAATTAGTTAATAATTAATAACTTATATTTAAATAAATTATTTCTAAAAAAGGCCCCGTGTAATCAGGACAGGAGGAGTCTTCACTTCACAGCCGATAAATGCACTTTGTGCACCTTGTATCGTGACGCCTCCTCGCGACAAGTATTGTACCATTTCCTTCCTCCCCTGTGGAAAATATTTTCGATTATTTATTTAATTATTTAATAATAATTTAATAATAAGGCGACGACCAGAAAGCGGGAGATCCCGAGTCCGGACGAGAAAACTCTTCTGGCTCCTTTCTTCGCTCTCATTTTCGGATTTTAGAGATATTCTTTCATTTCGTAACAGATATTTTCTCTTTCTGATTATCCAAACACGATACGTTGAGCTGATTTCCGCTTTCCAGTTCTAGATTATCTCTTCCTTAGCTGAGGTTCTATGGCAGTCTCCGTTTCTGCTTCCAAGATTCTCTGCTTGAAGTCGGACCGTTCCACACGGTTCGGTGTCGCTTCTGCAGCAGTTTCTTCTTCGTCTTCTTCTCCGACAAAACTATCATTTCTCTCGTCCCTACAATTTCCTGTACGAACTCGTCTTCTTCGAAATGGAAGCATCGGGGTTGTCGCTTCCCGGCGGCCTCGAATTCTTCCTCTGGTAATAAGTCCTTCCTTCATTGTTTGTAATTCCATTATTGTTGAGTAGAACTCCAATGGGAGAGCTTTGTACTTGCTTCTTACATATTGTCTGATTGAACTTCGTCCGGCGATTTTCGTGGTTTTTTTTTTTTTGTTATTTATAATTATTCGTCTCATGTTCAGTACATCATCTTCGTCTATGGGTTACTTACTTTCTTTTTCTATTGTGTTATTTTCTAATCTTTTGTGATTTATCTGTGTGGGTTTTGGGGGAAGGTTTTCTTGCTTTTTTGGGTGTATGGTTTACGCTTGATCAAAAAACAGGTTTTCTTGGTTTTTTGGGTGTATGGTTCACACTTGATCACAGAAAAGCAAGTGTTAGTCGTTCGGCAAAGTAGACTTAATGTGGGGATTAAAAAAAAAAGGTAATGGAAAGAATTGAATTTACAATGAATAAATAGCTGTTTCAGAATCATATTAGTAAAACATGCTTAGATAATTTGACACTTAAAATTTTCTTATGAAGGTTTTGAAAATAGAAAGTGAATGTGGGTTCAAAAGGATTATGATACTTGTACGGATAATTATTCTTTGTCAGATTATTAAAACTTGACCCTTCATAACTCAATTCATTGATACTAAGAAATGGGAGCATATTGGTTTTTCATCTATAACTTTCAGCGGGATTCAATCTATTGTTCACCTCTTTCTAATGCTTATAATTCCTTCTATTCTGGCTCATATCTGGTATGTACATGGTACATCAACCGTGAACTAATTCAGATTGATGCTTTCTATTTGATGTAATATACAATTGATTTGGGATGTGTGGAAGTGTTAAATGTTTGGTTTTGAGGTTGATTGTGTCATGCCATGAATCTGTGTTTATGCTGATAGCTGTTCTGATTTTCTTTGTGTTTTCATGCATCTGCAGTGGCTGGCTTAATCTCAGCTTTTATTGTCAATGAAGAGCTGACAAGCAATTTTGAAAAACTTTTGTTGCAGGTGGAGGCAAAGAAGCAAACTTTTTCCTCATTTGATGACATGCTTGCTAATTCTGAAAAACCTGTATTGGTTGACTTTTATGCAACCTGGTAAATTATTCTCTTGTTGTCTCTCTTGTGGTAAAGCGGATGTTAACTTATATTATTCGTTGGTGCAAATCATAACTTTCTATATCTCAAAATTTAATTCAAAAGTGTTTAAATAACGGCATTGTTTCCAGGTGTGGTCCTTGTCAATTCATGGCACCCGTACTTAGCGAAGTAAGCACTCGGCTTAGAGATGTTATACTTGTAGCAAAGGTTGACACTGAAAAGTATCCTAGCATTGCTGACAAATACAGAATTGAGGCATTGCCTACTTTCATAGTCTTTAAGGACGGAAAACCCCTTGATCGCTTTGTAAGTTGGATTCTATCTGTTTCATCTGAATTCCTCTCTCCCCAGGCGCCCCTTTGTGGTTAACTGTCTCTTCAGCATTTTAAAGTGTGTGGAAGCCTCATCTGAAGCTTTTGCCCTAGACTCCTGGCATTTTCTTACGTGTAGTTTCGAACTTCAAATTAGAGCTTCACATGCATCATGAAGTATATATCTGTATGAATTTTTCTGCGGTATCCTATGCTTAGGACCTCTCTAATTTTACTGGAAAGTTCAAGTTGCATTTATAAAGTGTCCTTTTAAATTTAAATTTATTGGTGGCATAAAAGATGATTTTTATTTTGAATGATTATTTAACTGTAAATGATCGATGCCTTTATGATTGCTAAAAGACTAACAACAATGAAGGAGAGCTTCAACTTGATTTACCCTCCTATCAGAGAATCTAAAATATTCAAATATCACATATGTTCAGATTCCCTATTCCTTTTGAGAATTATATTTCACTGATGAAATTTGTGACACCAACTTGCTCTACAAATGGCTGGCAGTGATATTCAAATATAACAAATGGCTGGCAGTGATTTATGTGAGTAGGGAGATAAGGTGGGTTAGATAAAGAATTTGTTTCTTATTTTGTTTCAATTTGTAGGTGTAAACTGAAAATAGGATAAACACTTCCTGGCAGTTTTGGAAGTGCACCAACTTGCTCTACATGGGACAACATTAATACATACGGCAAAAACGTATGATCTCTAAGTGTTGATTAAAACGGGATATGGGCCACTTGAATTGAAGTTTAATACCCTCCAACAGTGCTCCTTTATATCACTAGGATTATCAGACTTTCTGACCAAATTAATTTAAATTGCCCGTCAAAATTTATCGACTGTCAAATTAGTTCCTGTTTTCTTGTGTTTCCTCTGTTATTTACATAGAAAGTGCCTCTTGTGATGCTGCATCATGTGCCTTGTTTAGTGGCTACGCGATATTGTTGTGAAGTAAAATCAAAGAAGCATCTAAGCTCTTTTAACTCAATCTGCCCTCCAGCAGACTGGCAAACTTCAAATTGAGTTGAACAATGAGAATCAGAGAATGTATAACCAGAGTTTGATGATTTTCAGGAGGGAGCATTGACTGCAGATCAGCTGATTGAACGGATAGAATCCAGTCTCAAGGTTAAGCAATAATGATACTTAGCCTCTATTGTTTTTCTGTAGCTTAGCATGACTGTAATAAAGATACTTGCTTAAGGGCATCTGTAAGCGAGTAGATGTACATTGTCCCCCACACTAGCTCCAGAAATCCCTTATTATTGGTATTTTTTATGAGGAAGCTGTCTTCAACTGTTATGAAGCCCCTAGACAAAAATGGATATTGCCTAATGTAATACTGGATCTTATAGACGGCGTTAGCTTGGAAAATGACAATTCCTGTTTTAGCATTGTTATTATTATTCTTTTTTTCAATTGTAGTATAGTAATTACCCTGTCTTTAACATTCTGCACTTTCTGATCTTGCCAATTGCACCTAGATTGTATTGTCCTTCCTTTATACTGTGAACAAGTAATAGATTTAATCACCCAGAAAAAGGAAGGGAAATACTTACTCATTCAGTATCTGCTTAGAAGGTAAGCAGGTGGCATTCGCCCATGATTTAGCTAAGTGATTTCTTATGAATTTACTTCTCAAACTAAAGATTGGATTCTTGTGTGGAATTGAAAGTGTGGAGGGACGGAATGGTAACAGTTGTTCACGCTGACGCACAACTCTTCATCAGTACGCCTTCTTGTGTATGTATGATGACGTCATCTCATTACCTTCTCTCTCTTCTTTATTGTGTGTTGTTTATCCTCCTTTGTATGCTAATATGTTGAATGCCCGTTCTATGTTTATAATGAAAACGGTTCTTATATTTAAAAGAAAATAAAGGGGGACACGCAACAGCAATAGGGTAAATCAATAATCTCCTTGGAATGGTCTTACATGAACTTGACACTAAACTGTATCAACAAATGAAATATTGCATTGCACTTTGTATCACAGGAAGCAAAGCATTGCGTTTTGTGAAGCTCTAACAAGTTCCTGAATTTTTCTTTACTACGCATATGTATTTTTTTATTAGAGACAATCTTATTTAAAGTAGCTAAACGTGAGCATCTCTCCTAAAGAGGATTTACAAAACGCGCGAGTTTAGCTTATTGGAAAAAGTACATTTTGACCCCATCGTTTGTTAAGGGCCTGTTTGGATGTATCTTCAAACCATAGTTTGGAGAAAATACCATCCAAACAGCAGCAGAAAATATAAAACCATGGTTTCACCAAAAGCAGCTAGGAGTTGCTTCTGACTTAAATTATTGGAACGTTTGGTGTGGGTCCCATGGTAGATGACAGAACAACCCCCAATAATTGATGCCTTCAGCCCTTCATTCCTCGGTCCTTCGCTCTTCACTCTTCAAAATGCCTTCCTACTGTGCTCTTTCTTCCATCACAAGGATAATTTAATATTATGTTTTATAAATATATATATACACATATTAATTAATTATTAATTATATTATCTTATATATTATTAATTATGTTAGTAAAAATTATTTTATTAACAATTTTATTTCTTCAAATCAAAATATATTATAAAATCTATTCCTTATATAATTATCATATTAATTTATGTCCTTTTTCGTAATTTGCATATATAAAAAGTGTTTCTAGTAACAACTATCTAAACACTTTCACTTCTCAGAATTACTTTTTCACAGAATCTATTCTTCACAAAATCTATTCTTCCCAGAATCTATTTTCCAGAAGCTATTCTCCAAACTATGGTTTGGTTTCATCCAAACACCCCCTAAGTGTTTTTCTCTTGAGAAATTCTCACAGGTAAAGACATGTAACTTGCCAGCAAGGTGTGGACATTAGATTGATCTCAGTAGCAGAGTAGCTTAGATCATTTCCTTCATTTTTTATGCTTGGATAAAAGTTTGGGTAGTTTTCATTGAATGCTTATTTAATTGCTTTTGTTAAATTCAGTTTTGTTCCTCAAACCTTTATCTCTCTAATAGTTTGGGTAGTTTTTTATAAACAACAAGGTGTGTTTGGATGAAACCAAACCACGGTTTGGAGAATAGCTTTTGGAGAATAGATTCTGGAAAGAATAGATTTTGTAAAAAAGTGATACTGAGAAGTGAGAGTGTTTGGATAGTTGTTATCAGAAGTACTTTTTATATATACAAATTACTAAAAAAAACATAAGTTAATATGATAATTATATATATGATATATTTTATGATATATTTTAATTTGAAATAATAAAATTGTTAATAACATATTTTTTACCAACATAATTAATAATACATAAGATAATGTAATTAATAAATAATTAATATGTGTATATACGTTTATAAGATATAATGTTAAATATGTTTATAAAAAATAATTGAGAAATGTTAAAGTCATATTATTGTTGAGATCTACTCTGACAGGCACAATCATCTCTCCAATTTGAGCCAAAAGCAGAATGAATTCACTTCTCCTAAAACCATGGTTTTGGATTCCAAAACAATGGTTTCGGCCCAAACCATGGTTTCAGATTATTGGCCCAAAATTGATGCTGTTTGAGTGACATCTCACCAAAACCATGGTTTTGCCGCCCAAACCATGGTCTTGAGGGTCACCCAAACAGGCCCTAAAGCAAGTAAAAAGGATGCCTTTGCAAAAGCTAATGCCATTTTCTCTGAAACTAACACTTTAAAATATTTTGTTAATAACATTTAACATAGTAAACTAAATTTTGTGCATTCAATACCAGTATTTTTTCAGTATTTAGTATCTTAAATTAATTTTTAATACTATTTTTCCCTTAAAATGTTTTTTTCAATAATAATGAGCATTTTAAACTAATGATACTAAGTGCCAGAGTAAAAATATTTTAAATGTTAAATACACCAAAAAATTGTTTTATATCTATTAAAAAACACTTCACGTGCAGATGCAGTTAATTTAAGCTTAAGGAATACTCAATATTATTCTAAACTCTCTTTTGAAGAGTCTTTAACACCTTAAAGTATTAAATGGTGTAATTTTGTCTCTTAACTAATAAAACAGGAGGGCGTAGCAAATCCATTTTTTTTTATTAATTTAGGGGCAAAATTACATGGGAAATGACAAATAAAGACCCCCGAATTATCAAAATTACACAGAGGTCACCTGAATAAACAAAATTACCATGACGGACTCAATCCCATATTGCAAATATGAAATCTTGACAAAATGTCTGAAATGCCCCTCAACCAAGTTGTGATTTGGTCTAGTAAAATTGTCATTCGTTAAAGTAAACTTGTTATTTCTCATAATCAACTTGTCATTTAATCATACCTTCAACCAAGTTGTGATTTGATTGACTAAAGTTGTTATTCGCTAAAGTGAACTTATCATTTCTTATAGTCAACTTGTCATTTGGTTGAGGGGCATTTCAGACATTTTTCCAAGATTTCATATTTACAATATGAGACTGGGTCCCTCATGGTAATTTTGCTTATTCAGGTAACTTCTGCGTAATTTTGATAATTCAGGAGTCTTTATTTGTGATTTTCTCAAATTACATCACTTAGTAGTTAAGGGCTTGTTTGGTTTCTTGTTTTGAAAACAATTTCTTATTTTTAAAAGCAAAAAAAAAAACTTGTTTAGCAATTTGTTTTTAGTTGATAGTTTTAAAAAAGCAAAAATATGTTTTTAAAAACTGAAAAACCAAAACAACCTTTACATGTTTTCTTGTTTTTGTTTCTGTTTCTTTTTTAAAAAAAATTAAAGAAATCTTCTTCTCTTCTCCTCTATTACCTATTACTTATCACTACCAGTGATAGTTACCACTTGTCAAAATGTGATTTTTTAAAAATTATTTTCCAAATAAATATTTTTGTTTTTTGTTTCCAAAACTTGTTCTTTAAAAAAATTTATAAAATTATTTTGAGAATAAAAAAACAAAAAACAAAAACAAACGGGCTCTAATACTTTTTAAATGCTGAAGACTTCTTTTAGAAAATAATAATAATAATAAGGTTTCCTAGTAATGTGACCTTTCTCTTTTCTGTGGAACGGCCAAGCATGGGCTCACTCCTCACTAAAGCCGAAAACAAGCTTGGCAGTTGGCAGCTTGAAAGAAGAATGTTTACAAAGGCACCTACGAATTATCCCATCTATGCGATAATCACACCAGCACAGAGATATTTGTGCCTCGCTGACCTAAAATCCTAAAACCCTAACTCCATAAAGCTCGTCGTTCGACTTCGACAGCTCTACCTCTGTCGCATCTCTGATTCGTGACTCCTCAACTCCGCCTCCTCTGGCTTCGTCTCCGTCACCACGCCATCAGGTCGCCGGAGAAATGCTGCTGAGCAGATTTTGCAAGACTTGCAAAATAATGCCGGCACTTGGCTTCAAGTCATGCATATTTTACAAAACGCTCAAAATCTGAATACTAGAAGTTCTTTGCCTTGTAGGTTCTCGAAGGTGTGATTAAATACCGATGGAATGCTCTCCCTGTTCATTCAGCGAGATTGAATGAATAATTTTATTTCTGATATTATTTTAAAGGTTTTTGAATGTGACAAAAATAAATTAAGAAAGGCATAATCAATATGCAATGCCTCTGGATGGTCGGTTAGTGTGATTACCTGGAGTTACCCTGGAATCGATTCCAACTTCTAAGTGAACCAATCTCAACCTCACGGATGTTGCTGAGGTCTCTCTCATTTGCATCGCTATCCAGGTACTACCTTTGTGTCTCAATTGCTCGCTTTTGCTCCGCGAACCGCAATTTGCACCATGATGTTGAATCAGTATTCCGTATTATCACTTCCTCTTCATCTCCTGAAGACCTCAAGCAATCTTTGAAATCAAGTGGAGTTTTCCTCTCCAATGATTTAGTCGATGCAGTTTTGAAAAGGGTCAGATTTAGTCATTCCAACCCCTTGCAAGCTTTGGAATTTTTCTGGTATACCGGCAATAGACGAGGGTTTTTTCACTCTGCTTTTTCCCTCGATACTATGCTTTATATTTTAGGACGAAGCCGTATGTTTGGCCACATTTGGGACTTATTGCGTGAAGTGCGACGGAAAGATCAATCCATAATAACCCCTCGCACCCTTATGGTTGTCTTAGCTAGAATAGCTAAGGTGTGCTCAGTGAGGGAGACCGTGGAATCATTTAGGAGGTTTAGAAAGTTTGTTCCTGAATTCGATACGACCTGTTTCAATTCTTTGTTGAGAACCTTGTGCCAAGAGAAGAGTATGAAGGATGCCAGAAATGTTTATCATGGTTTAAAGTATGATTTCCGGCCAAACTTGCAAAGCTTTAATATACTTTTGTCAGGGTGGAAATCCACAGAGGAAGCTGAGGGATTCTTTAAGGAAATGAGAGCAATGGGGGTAGAACCTGATATTGTATCATATAATTGTTTGGTTGATGTCTACTGTAAAGGGAAGGAAATGGAGAAGGCCTATAAGATGGTTGATGAAATGCGAGATAAGGATATACTACCTGATGTAATCACATATACTTCTATCATCGGGGGATTGGGCTTGATAGCTCAGCCAGATAAAGCTAGAGATGTTTTAAAAGAGATGAAGGAGTATGGGTGTTATCCTGATGTTGCGGCATATAATGCAGCCATAAGGAATTTTTGCATTGCAAAGAGGCTTCGTGATGCTCACAGCTTGATGGATGACATGGTGAAAGAAGGTCTAAGTCCAAATGCAACTACTTACAATTTATTCTTTAGGGTTTATTACTGGTCAAATGATTTGCAGAGTTCCTGGAATCTGTACGGAACGATGATCGGAACTGGATGCTTGCCAAACACACAATCTTGCATGTTCTTGATAAGGTTGTTTAGGAAGCAGGAAAAGGTTGAGATGGCACTGCACCTATGGAGCGACATGATGGAAAGGGGTTTCGGGTCCTATACTTTGGTTTCTGATGTACTATTTGACTTGCTCTGTGACATGGGCAAGTTAATGGAAGCGGAGAAATGTTTCTTGGAGATGATTGAGAAAGGTCAGAAGCCAAGCAACGTTTCTTTCAAGAGAATCAAGGTTTTAATGGAGCTAGCAAATAAGCATGAGGCTATTCTGAACTTGTCACGGAAAATGGCCATGTTTGCACGTCCAATCCAAGTTCAATGAAGTATATAGAGCGACTTGAGACATCAAAATTAGAACATGGTTGTCAAAGGGATGCTTCTCGGGGTTGTTTCTCTGACAACGTAATTGGTACCATTATAACATAGTACCAACATGCTATCATCGTATTTCGGACTTGTGGTTGCAGAAGGAAAGATGTCAAGACCTGAGACCTCTAGGTGCCCAAGTGGCTGGAAACATAAAGAAGGTGAAATTTATTCAAGCCAAATGGGAAATGCACATCAAGCAGGCTAAAGCCGGAGCAGAATCAGAAAATAAATTAGGACACAAGACCACTAGGACAGGAAACATATACTTCTGAGATATGAAATATGCCTTTTGCAATATGCTCTCGAACTATAAGATTCAAGAAATATCTCTTCGATTATTCTAAAGTTGTTCGGTGTGTGGTAGGTCAGTTTCGGGAGCAGGACAACGGCTTCCTAAATTGAAGAAATATGTTCGTTTCAAGTTGAGCCAGAGTATCAGGATCTTGTGTTGTAGGCAATGGTGCTTTGCTAAAGCTTCCATTTCTATTTGCTTGTACGTTCTTCAGAACGCATGAAGTTTGGATACCCAAACTTCTGCAGAGATCTGTGATACGTATGTGGAAACCCTGGATTGACTGACATGATTGTAGTTCTTCAACGTTAATTCAAATTCTTGTCTATCCAATGCAGAAAGATCAAGTTATGCAATTACCAGAATTTATCAAATATTTAATAAACCATCTAATGTGTAGTGTTCTTCAATCGCGGGCACATAAATTTGTGATTTTTTATGAACATTGGTTGGAGAAGCTCTAAAAGAATATCATAGGATGATGAGAGGAATTACAATTCCCAACGTTATTTGATGTAGTTAGAAATAGAAAATTTGTTTTAAAAAAAAAATCTATCGATTCCATGTCCCCTTGATTTTAAGAGAAATAGACCTCTATATGTAATGGATAATACTACCTCCGATCCTAATTATAAGAGTCAATTGACTAATTTGAAGAAATTAAAGAAGTAAGTTAAGTTAGTTATTTATCTTAAATAGGTGTTATCTTCTTTAAAATATCCTTACTAATCAAGTGTATTGACTAGAACTATTATTGTTAGAAGGGTTACTTTGGGAAAAAATGTATAAATATAAGAGATAAAGTGGATTAGGTCTTATATTTAAGACCAAAATAAAAGTAAAAAAGGTCTTATATTAAGGACCAGAGGTAGTATTAAGATTAAAAAAATAAATTATGCCTCTCACATGTGTTTTAGAGATGATTCTTCAAAAAGAAGTTTGAAATTACTAAATATCAACCACAAATATATTGTTATTTGTAAATTCAATACTGTGACAACCTATTAAAATATTGTTACTAAATCTGATTTGAGATTTAGTATGCTCAACCTTCTTTTTGTGTAATTCTCCCTAATAACGTCTAATTTTTTGTGATTCTTTTGTTGAGTTTAGGGCAATTTATAAATTATTTCTAAACACTACTTATCCATAAATTTTGCGTACTTAAAACTAGTTTCGTCCTTAACAACTACTTTCGTCCTCAACGGTTTGATTTATGATTACGACATAAAAATTTAGTAAAGTGACTACTGAAGAAAAAGAAAATCAAAATTTCGATTCAAACCTCCACTTATTGGCAATATATCAGTCGATTATTACTTCACAATTTCCATTCACCGCAAAAAGGCATGATCTTGATTTTACTGAATGAATCACTTATCGTCGCCTGAACCACTTCAAACAATGCAGATCCATTCAATTCTAATCATCAGTTGGGAGAAAAGCAATCAGCCCTAGGATGCATTCATATGATACATGCTACAAATTAATAAAGGATTAAGGTTACAAATTTACCTCAAAATTTTTTCACCTAAAAATATTTTTGGGTACAATTTTAGCCCCAAATATTTAAAATTACAACAACATCATCCTCTTCAGTTAAAAACTAACGTTGACCATTGCCAAATAGGAAGAATTTGTGCGAGATAAATTTGTATCTTAACCCAATCAACAAAATGTTTTGTGACGTTAATAAGATGTAAATAGCATGCAAATGTCATAATTACATAAAAAAATTTAACCCCAACAACCAAATGCTCCGTCTAAACACTGTTAATGACTCTGACATGAAGTTCCACTCTAATTTGTAAAGAACATCAATAGCTTAAGCACAAGCAATTGGCGGGTATAGATTTCCTGTCGCCTATAATGGGTCTTATCTAATTATGGCGCCTTTTTATCGTGTTTTTGTACGCATTTCTACTACTTCCATAATGTGGGAATATAGATTTTAAAAAAATAAATTATATTATTATAACATAAGTGATCTACTCATCCTAACATAATTCTATATCAGCTAACAAACTAAATGAATTGGCTTGAAGAAAAATAATAAACACGAGACAAAAATGAATTAGGATTTAGGACGAAGGCGCATATCAATTATTTAACAAATTCAAGGTCATCAAGAAAATAGTATTACCTGCAATTCTTAAATATAAAAGTTAATAGCTTTGAAGATGGACCACCGTAGAAATGGCTGTTTAGACACCAAATTGTATTCCAAGCACAACCAAAAGCTTCATAAGGATCATATCAAATGGCTAGTAGTAACAAAGTTCAAACATAAACAAAATTCAACTGCATTTCCAAAACAAAAATTACTTGATTATCCGACCACATATCTAATTCTTTAAAATAAAGTAAATCACTAAAGCAAGAGCTCAACGCTTCTTAGAGACACCAACAGTCTTGCCCCTACGTCCAGTAGTCTTGGTGTGCTGACCACGAACTCTAAGACCCCAGTAGTGCCTCAAACCACGGTGGTTCCTGCATTTTACAAGGTTTCAAATGTTAGATTTCATCCGTACGTTTCACTAGCCATAATATAGTTAACACCCAGTACAAAATCAAGGATCAATAGATAGTTCTTCTGGCCAAGGAAATTGAAAGAACGTTTCAAGAGGGTTATGGGCGGAAATAAAGAAATCAAACTCAAAATGGTACATATAGCTTCAGGTCTTCGCATAAAACAGAAATGGTAAAGAGTTTGAATAGAGTGAAACAATACAAAGTCGATCTCTTCTTCGATATACACAATGCTCCCACCAAAACAAAAAAGTCGGATAGGAGTCACTATGAAAATCTATTTTCATTTTTACTTTAGATAAGGACAATGATAAAAATAAAACGCAGATAAGGGGACAATATTTTCCTATATATTTAGCATTCAGTAGTTTATTGTGTCTTGAGCCTATTCAACAGATTTGAACTTTAGAGATTGGAAGAATGAGAATCGATCACTCAAACAAGATGCTTACAAACACTGCGCATGTCAACTCCTATTTGGAGCTAAATTTCGGTAAGAATATGCAGATGACATGATTAAGAGCATTAAGATAGAAATAACACATGCTCAGAGGACACAGATTTAACAGAAAAAGTTGAATATCAGTTGAACCATGGATGAAAAACGCTACAATCCAAGTGTTATTCACCTGATTTTCTTCAGCCTTTCCAAGTCATCTCTCAACTTCATATCCAAAGCATTTGATACAACCTGAGAATACTTGCCATCCTTGTAGTCCTTCTTCCTGTTCAAAAACCAGTCTGGAATCTTGAACTGCCTAGGGTTCGCAACCACGGTCATAAGATTATCTAACTCGGCAGCACTCAACTCTCCAGCCCTGATAGTAAAATAACCAAACTTTCTAGCCTTAATTTCCTTTCAATAAAGCATAAAAAATCAAAACATCAAAAAGCAGAAGAAACAGACCCTAAGTCAGTCACCCGTAGCACTGTCATCAAACTATCTGATAGAATCTAAACACAAATCAGAGATGTGATAGTCAACGCAAACAAACCTCTTGTTCATGTCAATATCAGCCTTCTTGCAGCAAATGTTGGCGAATCGCCTGCCAATACCTTTGATAGAGGTCAGAGCGAACATAATCCTCTGCTTCCCATCGACGTTAGTGTTCAGAACACGAAGAATGTGCTGGAAATCCTCGTTCGCCACCAGAGACTACCGAAAAAAAAAAGAGAATACAGACTAGATTTTGAGACAAAATCAAAGTAAAATCAAAGAAGGAGAAGATTCGAAGTCTAAAAGTTCATTAAGAGCAGCCAAAACCATCAATAAAAACCAATAGATTTCAGCTCATCGAACAAAACTGGGAATTTGAAGATACAAACATTTAGAGAACACACAAAGGGAAATGGGCGAAGACAGGAAGAGGATAACACGATAAAGAACGCACCATCTTGGAAGCTGAGATTCAAGGGACAGATGCGGCTGCTCCTGGCTCAGAGAAGTAACAGGCAAATCGCCACAACTCCTTCAATCTAAAACCCTAAAAATCAGAATTAGGTTTTCTTTATAGGGGGCACTTTACTCATAAACTGGGCCTGGGCCTGGGCCTGGTCCATCAGAATAAGTTTTGGGTTTAGGACATAACATTTGTTTTGATCTGGTTCAACCAAAAACATAAAAAAACAGGAAGATTTGATCTCGTTATTTATTTCTTTGTCTATTTTCGTCCACTGGTCAACGATGGTGTTTTTGTTCTTGGCCCAAAAACTTGGTGAACGTTTTGAGGCCTTGGCCCTCTTTTATAATTAGCCTGTTCAAAAGCTCTGTTCAGGATTAGATCTAACAGAAATGACTAGTCTCTTATAACATAACGAATCAAAGTTCAAATCCTCACTAGAAGAGATCCCCATACTTAGTACTCGACAGTACTTCGAATAAGATTATCTTCAATAAGAATACCTATGCTTTAGTTAAAAAAAAAAAAAACTTTGTTCATACAAGTTCAAAACGGGCCTCTTTTTAGTAGCAGAAAAAAGGGCTTGATGCTCTCGATAAATACTACTCTATGCCCCGTTTGGTAGCAAGGAACTGGAAGGAGAGAAGTGGAAGTGGAAGTGGAATCAATCTTTTTGTTTGTTTGGTGCACTGGAACTCAATTCTCTGGGAAGTCACTTCCACCAAAAATGGTGGAACTGACTTCCACCCTATGACCCATGGAACCAGATCAGTTCCATGGAAGTGAATTTTTTCAGACCATTGTATCCTCAATTTTATAACTTATTGACAAGTTTGCCCTTAACATTATAACCCTCCTTTCTTCCTAAGCCATTTGACAACCTCCCCCTTCAGCAACCTCCGGCGATGGCAAGCCTCCATGAGAAGCATTGATAATGGCGAAGAAGCACTGGTGAAGACACCTTCGACTTCAGATCTAAAGGCAACGACGGCTTCATCTGAGATTAGGAGGCAGCAGATTCATCATATAGTAGGAGGCGACAACTTCATATCTATGAAGTATTGGAGCCGTAATCATTTTCTGCTATCGTCCTTGTCTCCCACCGTTTCCCTTACGGCGACGATGTCGGCTTCAGATTTCTCAGATTCGAAGCCATGAGGGAGACTCGTGCAACCATCTTTTGCTGTGGTCCTCATGAGGGAGAGGTTGCGCAGATTCGCGATGATGAAGCCATGAGGAAGAGATTGCGATTTATCCGAAACTCTTCGTCCTCATCGTCTTCCTTTTCTCCTCTTATTTGATGAGGATACCTCTGCTTCTTAATCTTTTTTTTTTGTTTGAATTCCTATTGATTATTGATGGCTGATAGTTGTTAAAAATGGAGGACAATGGTTGTGTTTGTGGTGGCCGGTGGCTGTGGTAGATTGCTGTGACGGCTAGTGGTT